AGATTTTAACAACTCTGAGCTATTAGTTAAGTTCTCCCCAAACGAGCTTGATGGGCCGAATGGCCTCCTCTCGTTTGTAAATTTCTTATGTTCTTATGTTCTTATGAAGGGAGTTCCCAGTCGTAGCATAAATTATATATTTACAAAAAAAAAATTCCTTGCTTTCAGATATCACGAAAACATCAGAATTTTAGCAAATGCTACATTTTGGCCTCTCTTCATAGGGGGCGCTCTTGAGCAGTTGGCCAGGACACAGACTCACCTCCTGCGGGCCAGCACTGTATATACCGCAGATACACAGTCAGCAGGAGCCTGCACCTCTACAAAGTAATAGGGTTCCATCAACCTGGGAGTGGCCTGGACAGGAAACAGCCAATGGCAGAAGAGATTAGGTGACATCATGGGACATCTAATGTCAACTGGGTGGATAAGCGGCCAGCAGAACAAATCCATGGCATCTATTAAGGTAAGCTGAGAGATCTATAAAATGTGCAAAGAGAGATGGAGGCTCACCATGAGGAACGCGGAGTAAACCACTCTGCGGGCCGTGGGGATGACCTGGCCACCCCCGCGGTGTAGGGGTTCTTGAGCGATGACTGCGTCCAGGATCTTGAACTTCACATTGCGGATGGCTGTGGGTGGGAGTTTAAAAATCGGTCGAGTTAAAGGGGTGGGATCATGAGTACTGGGAGGGCAGGGCGTAGGACAAGTCACTTACGCTCGTCACACAGCGGCCCCTCCCTGGTGCCCCACTGGAATCCCTGCACGATACTGTCCTTCACGGAGCCCAGAAGGGCCTTGTCCACCTGCCATCAAAACACACAAACACGGCACTTAGTACCAGTGCAGACTAACACCATCTCCAACATGAATGTACACCATCTCTAACATGAATGTACACCATCTCTAACATGAATATGTGATGGAACTGATTCAACTCTAATTTGACCGAACGTGACTAAGTTCCAGATCACAAAATGATTTTGCTACCTTCTAACTCCAATCCATCTCCTACTGACATTCAGTCCATGTTTTTTTTTTTTGGTTAGTCCATTTTGTCATTTACAGCCATCCGCACCTCCGTATACAGAGGAATATAATCCACTTTCTAGGCTGACCATGCCTTACTCTACAAAAACATATCAACCAATTTTTTTTACAGCAGTTTCAGCAACCAGAAAGTACAACACACCAAACTCAGGGCATGAAAATGGCATATGGATTATATCTTCAACTGGGTCGCATTCGGTACTATTAAAGATGGTGCCATATATCCTGGGTGTCATTTGGACTCATGCAAACATTAAGAACCCATGATGATGAAAGTTGGGCACAATAAAAGTCTAAAAATGGGGGATTCTGTAGAATAAGATCCGGACCTCTGAGGGCAGCGTGTCGTCCACCAGAATATTGGGCCCAGTGGTGTCTGGACCAAAGGCCCAAATCGATCGGGCAGCCAGCAGATCCCAGTCGTACTTTGTCTGGAAGAACTCTCCAAGCTTCTTCCTGGGGAAGGGCCGACAGTTCACAATGAGGCCATTTGTAATGTCACTTTACAAAGCCTCCATCAGATTACCATTGACAGGTGCAACCTGTTGAATGCAGACAGTAGTGATGGCCGACCAAAGCTTCATGAACCATTTGCTGTATTTTTTTAAACCACTAGATGGTGCTCTCTGTTCCAGAAAGTGCTCAAAGCAAACCCCAATTAAACCAATAGCACCATCTAGTGGGGTCAGAAAATACAGCAAATGGTTCACGAGCCTTCCTTTGGCCATCACTAGTAGATAGCACCACACCCACCTGTTCCACGTGATCTGCACCACCTCGTTCTCTATGTCCTCCGCCAGACCCTTCTCCAGAGGTTCTGCGATCATGGTGATCTTGTTCCTGTCCACGACAAGAGACGGGTCAGGCCAAGTCAGAGTACAGAGATGAGGAGACCCGAAGACTGTAGAAATCAATAACATTGACGTAGGTCGATATTTCAACCATTTTGCTTTGTGGGGGCTTTTGTAATATTTCCTGGGAAGACACCAGCAGACGGAGACGGAAAGGTTCGGCCCCTCACTTTTTGTTGGGTGTCTCAGCGAAACACTTCAGGGACGAGGTTTCCACGACCGTCTCACAAAACGTCACCACGGGATCGGCCACCTGCAGAGGGGAGACCAGGCAGAATGTACCTAGCTGTGTACTTCAGACAAAAATAGATGGAATCGACATTGTTTTAGCGAAACAACATTGTATGAGCACACCGCCCATGCAGGGTCCCCAAGACTAAATTTTTCATTTGATCTGATCCCACCTAACATGCTCGATTTTCTGACGTAAATGTGACATCACGGGATTAGTTAGCAGGACTAATTAAGTAATTACCGACATGTTTTGCACCCCACCATGTATATCTGAACATGGATTAAATTAATGTGCATTTACAAATGGTGTAACTATGTTATGTTTGCTGTGTGCTTCATTAGTGTACAACCATGAGTATTGTGTCAATTGTTGGCTTCCCCGTCTGTGTTGCTGCTAATATTTAACCAAAAGTGGCTGTTAATAAAGAGAACTTCCATTTTAAAACAGCCGTCTATTAAAATGAGTCACACACTCGCCACAAAATGTTTATTTGTGCTCTGTCTGTAGGTCAAGCGCATCAAAAACATTCTGCGCCCACTAGGGTTGTGGAGTGACATAGGATGAACAATTTCGGGATGTTGTTGCTCTCTGACAGGGAAATGGACGTGGGGGGCTACGGAGGACCGAGGAGGGAAAGTGCTCACCTTGATGTCGATCTCGGAGTACATCTTACGCAGGTCGTGCATGACGCAGTCCAGGTAGAGCTCACCTGTGCCCAAGATGACGTGCTCACCAGACTCCTCCACCTAAGAGCATCAAAGTGAGGAGAGAGCACGGCCAATCAAGAGTGGCTCCGCGATGATGCGTTCTGCAGGCGTGGATCAGCTGTGGCGTGCTAGGAACTTGGAGGCTGACATGGCGAGGAGCCCATACCTTGGTGGTGAGGGAGGGGTAGCTCTTGTTGACCTTCCTCAGGCCGTCCAGCATCTTGGGAAGCTCAGAGGGGTTTACTGGCTCCACGGCGATCTTGATGACAGACGCCGTGTTGAACTTCAGAGGCCGGAAAATCTGAGCCTGGGGGAGGGGCGACAGGGTGGGGAGGTGATGTCAAAATGGGGGGGGGGGGGGGCTGGGAATCCCAGCGGGGGCCGGCGCTCGCCAACCTCCTCGTTGCCACGCGGCTCTGTGATGGTGGCCGTCTTGACGATGGGCTGGTCGCATCCCTCGATCAGAACCCAGTTTCCTGCCGGCACCCGATTCACTTCTATCTGGTACCTGGGTTCAAGAAGTAGGTAAGAAAAAGAGCCCCATTGTACAACTGGGGTCATACGATAAGAGAAGCTTATTGGACGGCGTGCCGGCTGCTGGGGTTACCTGGCGACGGAGATCCAGAGGCGGCCCACGGTGCAGACCTGGGAGTCCTCCTCGTCCTCGAGGGTGTAGTTCTCACCAAGGACCTTGACGGGCTGGCCGGCCTGGATGGTGCCACTCAAGACCCGGCCAAAGGCGTGGAACTGAACGCCGTCCTTGGTGCTGTACATCTTGGTTGTGTGGCACATCAGGGGACCCTGGGGATGGCGGGGGGTGGGGGGGTAGTTCACATTAACAACCTGTACCATCTTCATCGCCGCATTGATGTAATATGAATTACTCTGACCCCCCCC